CATGAAAAGAGAAAGCCATCTAATGATCGTCAATCCAACAGATCTGCCTACTCTGCCGAGATACAAACGCAAACCAACAAAGAATTGCACATGGCAGCAGCTAATCAAGCCCCCCCCTGCAAAGCAGCGTCGAGGTGATAATGTTGGAGAAGTGCACGAAACTCACGCAGCAGAACTTCAGCGAGACCTGGAAGGTCGCAACACAGTTCAGCTACCTGTATCGGAAGTGCTTGCCCAAGAAATGGGGATACAATGAATGCGTGTGTCGGTAAATCAATATGGTACCTACCACCCAGCCTTGGTCGTGCGAAATTTGAGTGCCGAATGGGCTGACGGAATTCGGAAAGAATTCCAAATCGCGCGCTACTACTCGTGGATGGTGGAACTACCTATACTCGACTCAAACACCCTTCAGCCAAGACAATGCCTGATCTGCGGCGGACAACCCCAGTACATGGAATGCTCAGAACTGTCCGAATACAGCCGTGATCGAGTTCGATGGGTGTGGGGATGGGTGCGCATGCAATATTTGCGATACCCAAAGGTCCAAAAACACTACAAGAACCACGAGAAGCTGCGTAATGTAGTAAATCGCAAGCTGCATCGAATTTACTCAGATGAAGGCTTCAGTAGCATGGCCACATTGAACGGAGTACTGGAAGTACCATTCTGTACCGGCTCAACTAGTGACGTCATCATTATTTCGATGGAGATGCTGGAAGCACTCCAGGCGAATGCGAAGGACACGAAAGTCCAGTCGGTCAAACTGTCGGAAACCTGGAAAGGGTTTGCTGTGTAAAGCACCCCCTTCTACTCCGCCAAGTGGTCAAGATTCGAATTCGACTGCAGACTGTGGCTGGCCCCGTCAATCTACCTGGCATCAAGCCATGATACGTAATTAGCAGGAGCGATGCGCTTCTTGTCTCACGGCCAGCACGCGAATCTATAGGCATCAACATGGATCGATTACTGGAACAAGTCGCAACACATCAACGCCAGGAAGGCGGCGATGACGTGGGAGAACCCGATGGTGATGAAGACATTGCTTTTGGGGTGGCGACTCGCCGACTTCAAAATGGCAACAACGACCTGGACAATGACGATTTAAATGCTGCAAAAGAATTGCATACTAACGCGTTGGAAACGCTCAAGTTGATGGATGATGGCAATGAAGCAATACTAAACAAGTTGGAAACTTGCGTCATGAACGCGGCCCGCGAAGGCGTTTGGCGAATAAACTCCTAAGGAACGGATGCTGCTGCCAACGTACAGACGATGGAGATTAAGCTCAAGAGCTATGCCACACCCCACCGCAGCAAGGCGCGCAAAACGAGCCCGCTAGAAACAAAATTTCTGGATGCATTCGGAAGACAACTTGAAGAAGATGGTATCATCTATTCGAACTCATCATCAGCCTACTGTAGCCCAGTCAATCCGGTGATGAAATCAGGAGGCAAAAAATTGTTCTCAAGGTCAGTGACGAATGGACGGCAGAGGAACTGCTGTTGCGTTATCGACTCACCATGGACTACCATGTGGTGAACAGCATGGCTGCCCCCATGTCTGGTGCGATGCCATTCCAGTTCATGGTGCTGGAAGACGTCAAAGGAGCGAAATACCTTAGGGTTTTCGATCTCACAAAGGGATTCTGGCAATTAATTACCTTTGGGCCTCAATTCTCAAGAAATTCTGTCGTTCATGCTAGCTTTCCGCGTAAGGACACCAACTCGCATCATGCAAGGATTCTGTGATAGCGTCCTATTTTTTCAAAGCACCATGACGGAATGTTTGAAAACCCTGCTCTACAAGAATTGTCTCGTATGGATTGATGACATCTTGGTTTGGGCCAACACTCTGGAAGAGTATGTTCAGGTCCTGGAAGAACTTTTTGCAATTTGTCGACATTATCACCTACGCATTAATCCGCGCAAGAGTACTCTGCTGTGCAGCGAAATTAAATGGTGCGGACGGATTATCGACGGGCAAGGGGTGAGAAGGATCCAGAAAGGATCAAATCACTTTGCGATATCCCATATCCAACGACCGCTGGCCAACTCCAACAATTCATCTGTGCCGTCAACTGGATTCGTGATTCCCTCATCGGCTTTGCACAAGCTGTGGACCCATTGCAAAAGAAGTTCACGCAAGTTTTGGATGGAAAGCGGCGCAAAAAGCGCACTGCTGCGTCGATTCAAATTGAACTCGACGCCATCGAACGTGCGAGCTGGGACAATGTCTCATGGTGGCTGCAGTGCAGCTACACCATCCTGATGAGCGTGCCAAAACAAAGTGCCTCTTCACGGACGCCTCGCAGGACGGATGGTCTATCATGGTCACACAAGTACACGATTTTGACGAAGTTACTCCAGTTTATGAACAACAGCACGAAATGCTGGTTTGCCAGTCAGGCATGTTTGACAAGACCCAGCGGAACTGGAGCGTCATCGAAAAAGAAGGATATCCTATTACCCGTGCATGCTACACACTGAAGTATTTATTTACTCCTACGCCCGATGGGATTTCGAATGTATTGTGACCAGAAGAATATCATCCAAGTGTTCAGAAGTCCACGGGGGGAGGAATTCCATTGTTCCCTGTAGTCATTATTCAGCTCATCTGGTGTGGTTTCATCCAGCTGACAAGATGTGTTATTCATTGTGATTGCACGTTCTTAGAGTCGCATTTTTTGGATGAAGTTCACTAGGCTTGTTCGGTCAGGAAATTCCGCGCGACGTTCTCCCAGCTCGACCTTTCACTCTTTCTTATATTCATCGTAAGCAAGAATTCGGAACGATGCTCTACCCAAGATCGTATAGTTTGGCGTGGGATGTTAAGGTCAACTTTGTAGTCACTCATTGATCATGAATTCGATGTCCTTGAGCCAGTATGATGGTCGATCACTGATGAGGCGGATTGATACACTGCATACACTTTAATATTGGAATCTAACTTGAATGTCGTAGCATAAAATCGTGATCGTTGGCAAATGCTCTGTCCAGCAATAACTTCGCGACACAGAAAAATGACGTACTCCTCCTCGAATAAAAATACAGTCACTTCAACACATTACAGTATACTACTGTACACTCAATATAAATTTCACAAGTTTTACAAATTCTGCTGTCCAATCAAATACTTTAAAATACTTGTCTCAGAACCAATCAAAAGTCGGAATAGGCCATTTCTGACAGTGCCATTCGATTCAGGAAGGGGGTTTACCTCAAGAACCCTCCTGCCTTACACCTTCACGCAATACCCACACCGCACATTCTTTTAGGCACTTATTCATCACTAGAGTGATTTTGCAAACGAGGAATTCCTCGTTGACTTTTCTGGAAACTTCATCCGGATATTCGACAATGCTGTAGCTTTTGCAATCGTGAATTTTCCCGTCATCCCCATGAGCGATGGACTCTATGTCCTCCCTCTAGTTTCTGGATTAATTGAAGAGCTTACGTCCTAAGGGCCGAAAGCAAATCGTCGAATCGTTTTCTGCAGCTGGCTGTGGTCAAGGTGTCGCCGTGGCTCACTCGCATGTGCTCGCAAATCTCTTCCCATCAAGCACCAGTTTGACCGTAGGCTACCTCGAAAGGGGCAATCATCACAACCTCCTCGAGGAGGTCAATGTCTGCTGACACAGAGAAGCGAAACGCAGTCTTCTTGCGCCTTACGGCTTCGTCCTGCTTGCTCATATGACTCTCAACGGCGTGTGGAAACATTTTCCCTGTGGAACATTCTCACAAGGAAATTCTAGAATCGAAATTTCGACTTTGCGCGTGTCTTTGCACCTCACGGGCAAAATGTCCAAATTTCGACATTTGCAAAATCACTCTACTGTCCATGTCTATAGGTTCCATTTCTACTTCGGCATTGTAGAGATGATATCATCGGTCGCCTCACAATCGCTTAGGTGAATGCACTCGAGCTCTCGGGCCAGCGTGTCGAGGCACCGCGCCTCTTCGACCTCCGCTGACACCGCTCGTTCCATGGCTACAGCATCCTGCGCGGCCAGCTTCTCCAAGCAAGTATGATACACATCCGGCGGACACTGCACGTTTTGAGGTAGTTGTCCATTGCGGGCCATATTTACTTTACCCATGTGAGGCACCATGTAGGCATAGTCTCCAAAAGGCAGGCTTGTAGCGATAAGAAGGTCCGTCCCAGGCTCTCCATTGAGTACTCGTCAAATGTTTGGACTACGTTTGTAAGCTCATCCACTGACCTAGCTGACTTTTTGTGTTGTAGGGGCTGGATCGCGGCAAAGAAGCCAAGGTCCAAGATGTTGGTGTCCGGGGAGTTTGGCGGCTGGGGGACGAGCGAGAAGACCCGACCTTTCTTGCCATATTCGTCGAAGGCTGTCGTGAGTTGCGCGTCCATGGAGGTGACGTGGGCCCGGGCATTTCGGTGCTGTAGCCGCACCGTCTTGTCGGGGTTTGGCCACTTTGCCGCAATCGAGAGTAGGACTTTCTTGAGTAGGAGGCACGATATACATCCTTTGCAACCGCGATTGGCTTGGTTTCATAGGTACCAGCCAGGAGCCAGCGGTTGAGCAGGCACCGACTCGACAAACGACCACGAGCCTATCTTGCCGTCCCACCACATGCTGGTTTCGTTGATGTAATAGCCCTGACAAGCATAACCCGTGTAATGCACCTTTTGCTTTTACATGTTCGTTGTGGTTCGCGGTTCCCAGGATGTAGTACTTACGAGTGGTCTTTGTAAGGTAAAAGAACTTTTCGTCCCGATGCACGTAGTGTAGCATGTCCGACAGATGAACATCAGCCTTGAACATTGTCGTGGCAAAGTTGAGGCGACAGTATTTGTTGGCCTCCGTTAGCACTGGACGTATCGCATTCGAGTGGGCACGGAACAAGCCGAGTATCAAGTATCGGTGCAATGAACCACGACTTATTCCTAGTAAATGCTTAGATGAGTTGCATACAGGGAACGACGGAAATCCTTCCCCCGTGGTACTCGACCATACTTCTGGAATTTTAATATTATGGACGTCCAAAATCATCCTCTGGAAATTTATAATATTTTTTGCCAATC